ACGGTGACTAAAATGTACCGCCGAGTACAGCCAGCATGTGCAACACAGCGTTGATGGCGCAGTGGTATCAGTGCCCGCTGTCAAGTGAATAGCAGAGAGTTCAATTCCGGGCGATGCAGCAGTTTTGCCAACATCGTGCTGAAGTTCGCCGTCTATCCTAGGGTCACCTCCCTGTTTCTCCTTTCATTATTCGCCGTTTACGGCCGCAGTTCACCACCTTTGACTCCCAGTCTATGGCACTTTACTACCGTCCCTGAAGCCTGTATCGCTACCAAAGGAGGCCATCTCGAGCACTTTCTTTGGTAATGAATTTTCCATGTTTTATTGTATATGAAAATAAACTTCTGAAGATATGATAGCTTCTCTTTTTGGAAATATGATCAATAAACCATGCGCCAATATTTAGTAGCCACCCTGTAAATGCCGAAATGGAAATAACAAGTATAGACGGAACTGTTGAAAAACGCGTCGTGAAGAAGCTGCTCAGTTCTGTTCGACTAGATGCAAAAGTCGAATTGGTTTCGACCGATTCTTCACTTCCGTGAAGCTCATGGATTCGATTTCGTTCCCAGCAGTGGGCACAGTTAACTCTTCGCGAAAGGATGTTCCCAAGTTTTCAGAAAAGCTTGGCGAACGTGGCAGCTTTGAGTTTGCGGTAAATGGAGCTGGTACGCTGTGTGCCCGTTGGAAAGACTGCAAGGAGGTCCTGGTAGTCAGCAATTGTCACGCTGACTACAACGCATGTGTTGCGCACAATGAAGGATGGATCGCGAAAAGAAGTTGAATGCCCTGAAGCTGTCTCCTTCTACAGCAGCATAATGGGCGGAGTAGATCTGTCTGATCAGAAATGTGCACTTTACGACTTCAATAGACGTTCCAGAAAATGGTGGTAAGGTGTACTATAAAATACTACAGGTGGCGGTTGTAAACGCATGGATAATATATCAGGAAATCCATCACGAGAAAACGAAGCTGATCAAATTCCTTGTTCCTCTTGCTCAGCAAATGATTGCGCAGGGGAGGGAAAGGACGGCTAACAGGCGCAAGCCCGGCATGGGGAGGCCACCAAAAATTTCAGGAGGATCATCAACGTTGGGGACCATATGCCACTACAGTTAAAAACGCGTCGGCGATGTAGATACTGCGCGATGTCAAAGAAAGAAACTCGTACAAAAATAATGTGTGCTGCTTGCAACGTGCCCTTGTGTATATCATGTTTTACTCCGTACCATTCATAGACCATATAATGTTGAAATTTTATAAAAAATTTCGGATCATTGAAGACTTCAATATTGTAAAAATGTGTGGTTGTAAACGCTCATCAAATTGTCAATTTATTAACACATTCACGACGACGCCCCTTTTCCACTTTTCGGTCGCGTGGGACGGACGCGATTTTGTGGGCGCCGCCTCACCACATAACCGCAGATTTTGTTTTGTGAACAAAAACATGAATGTCACAAAATAATTTCTGCAATGTCCAATGCGTAAAGATTATCTAAACATATAACAGTAGGATTTCGATCAGAACGACAAATAGTGGTTACGAAAAGAGAGCATTTATTCACTTTCCCCGTGAAGGAATTTAAAAGCATTTTACACTCGATTACGAGGTTTGCCCACCTATCTGTCCATTCCTAGCGCCTGGCAAGCGATTATCAGTTGGCAGCCCATATGGGCTGCCATCGTCCCAGGAGCGCATGTTGTTGGCAGCCCATATGGGCGGCCATCGGCGTGAATGTGTTAAACAAAAAATCATCTGAGCGGAAATGGTGTGATGACAAGACGGGCCGCTACCGCGCGCATGGTCCCTAGATCAAATCCCAGGTCAG